GACAACTTTCAGGACCCATTATGGTCATCATGAGTTCCTAGTTATGTCCTTTGGTTTGACCTATGCTCCTGCAACATTCATGGACCTTATGAACAGAGTATTCAAGACTTATTTAGATATGTTTGTTATCGTATTCATTGATGACATACTATTCTATTTGAGGAATGAGGAAGATCGTGCTAGTAATCTCAAAGTAGTTCTCTAAACTCTTAAGGATAGAGAGTTGTATGCTAAATTCTCTAAGTGTGAGTTTGTCTTGAGTCTGTGGCATTCTTAGGCCACATTGTTCCCGGTGATGGAATTTGAGTTGATACTTAGAAAATAGAGGTAGTACAGAATTGGACTAGACCCATAGCTCCAACTGATATTAGGAGTTTCTTGGGGTTGGCTGGATATTATAGAAGGTTCATCGAGGGGTTCTCATCTATTTCGCCCCCTTTGACCAAGTTGACTAAAAAAATAGTAAAGTTTCAATGGTCTGAAGCTTGTGAGAAAGCTTCTAGGAATTGAAAACTAGGTTGACTACTTCTCCAGTATTAACCTTACCAGAAGGTACACAAGGTTTTGTTGTATATTGTGATGCGTCCCGAGTTGGACTGGGTTGTGTGTTAATGCATAATGGTAAAGTTATAGCTTATGCCTCCAGACAGTTGAAAGTTCACGAGAAGAATTACCCAAACCATGATCTAGAGTTGGCTGCCGTAGTATTTGCTTTGAAAATATGGCGTCACTATCTTTATGGTGTTCATGTGGATGTGTTCACCGATCACAAAAGTCTCCCATATGTGTTTAGTCAGAAAGAGCTTAATCTCAGACAGAGGAGGTGGTTAGAGTTACTCAAGGATTATGACATGAGTATTTTATATCACCCAGGTAAGGCTAATGTGGTTGCTGATGCTTTAAGCATGTTGTCCATGGGTAGTACCGCCCATGTTGACAAAGAAAAGAGAGAGTTAGCGAAAGATGTGCACAGACTTGCACGATTAGGAGTTCGACTAATGGATTCCCCAGAAGGAGGAGTAGTGGTGATGAATGATACGCTCAAATTACACTTCCCTAAAGAAGTATAAGTGATCGTTGTCAAATAAAGAACCCAACTTGTAGGTTGGGTCGATCCCACGAGGAGTATGGTTTAGACTTAAACTTAACTCACTATTATATCCGTTTAGTCAAGTTATTTTCGAGACAAGTAGGTAAAGGGGGGGGGGGTTGTGAAACAAATAACTGAATGTTGTCAAGTAACAAGTGAGAAAGATTTGAACTTTGTTGTTATCAATGAGAGAGAGAAACTAGGGTGTATGTGTTCCACATAAGCTATTAACACGGTAATCCTAATAATAGTAATCATTTCCTAGTGTATCACATGCAAAGTGGTAAGATATGTATCCCTAAGTGCTTGGTCCGCCAAATAGGGAATTTCATTCCGTACCTTGGTCCGGCTACGTGTGTATAATTTACTAACCCTTACCTTTACCTCATATTAGACATCACATCAATGTATGGCTTAGTTTTCACCCTCGCACCAATTTACATTAGACTATTAGATAGTATCACACTAAATCTCTGTTGATAATTCCTTTCTTATTAACTACCTCCTTGGTCCAACAAGTAGCAACAAGACGAGTTCTAACGTTGGCCATCGTTAAAAAGACTTCTAAACGAAAGAATTACCAATGCATGCATCAACACTATTCAAGATTTACTTAGTTATTATTCATACATTGTTAATTGCTCATGGTTCCCACAACCCTAGTTATGGATTTAGCTACTCATGCTTGAAAGAACACAATTCATATTTTTAGAAGAAAAATTCATGAACTTATGTATTGAGTAGAAGAAACCCATAATCTCCAATTGAAATTCAAAGCAAAAATCTTATAAACCGAAATTAGGAAATCAAATTGCCAAAGTTTGCAAGTTTAATTCCCAAGAAAATACCAAGAACTAAAAGTATACACTGGTGTCTCACCCTCCAAAAATGAGGTTTACATACCCTATTTATAGAAAAACATGTCCTAAACAAAAAGGAAACAAAATAAGGAAATAAACTTTTTGGACGCAGCTTTGATCGACGACTCGACCTACGGACCGTGGGTTAACACTTAAACTTTTTCTTGTAGAAGCTGGAACCTTCACTCCCAGATACAATCGACGGACGTGCAACATGGATTGTAGGTTGCCTACGGTCCGTGGGTCCTCCTACGATCTGTTACTTGCATTCGTAGTTCCACACTTGGTCAAGATTTCTCTGATTCTCCATCTACGCCACCCATCTATGGACCGTGACTGGACCTACGGTCCATAGGTCACCTCTGTGGGTGGCTCCTTCTACAGTTTTTCAGCTGTCATCTCACACTTCCACGTCCAAGCCTATTTCCTGCAAATATGACACAAAATCATTAGTTCCTACTACAATATGTCCCTAGACACACACAACTCTTACGTGAAATGTATCAAAAATAGCGTAAACTCACGGTATATGAACACCCTCAACTTAAATTCGTTGTTTGTCCTCAAGCAACACACTAAAACTCTAAACGACACTTGTGTAGAAGCACACATACAAACTCAAGCAATCACATGGCTATTTCAATCCATTCCATTTTATTAGTGCAAATCTCTTCTCTTAGGCTCAACAAGCTAACTCATGCGGATCAAGATATGACAAAGATCGACCAACAGACACCACAACATACACTTTTATAATCACCAAGGTACCAACTTTCCGACAATATAACTAGTGCCCTCACTTCAAATGAAATCCTTTCCACACAGAAGTATGAATTTTAAATTTTAGGATTGATGCAACACTCACGCTCAGAGGCGACTTAAAGTACAGTTAGTGCTCAATACCATAGGCTTGTCCTTATTTTCACTGCTTAGACTCTCCAAACTAGTTGCTAGGATCACTATAAGACTTTCTTAACTTGTAACATAGGCTCAGGGTCAGGTGTGGTACATTTGGGTACTTTTTAGTAACTTTCTGCCCTCCTTCACATTACATTGGCTTTTTACCTCTCTTGTCAACCTATTTTTGAGATACTTACATTTTACTTTCTTTCCCATGACTCGTTTCAACATGGATGTGACTTTTGACTTTGTGGCTCTTAGTTTTCACTTTCTTCTTTTTATTTCACTTTATTTATCATTTTTTTTGCTTCTTTTGCACAAAGTCACATCTTCTTCTATCTTTTCTTTCTTTTCACTTTCCAACACAAAACTCTTTTCATACCCTTTTTCTTTTGGTTTCCTCTTTCATAGACACCCTCAACTTATGGATTTTGCATTAGTTGAGATGCACAATATCCGATGTCGGACCAGGGCCAAGATCAGGTAAATTTTTGCATTAGCCACCCTCAACTTAGGCTTTTGGCCTAAGTCAAGGTGCATATGTCCAAGGAGGGACCGAGGCAAAGACAATTATTTTAGGGAAGGTGAGTTAGGTGAATCAAAAGAAATGGTCTTTTAAGGCTCAAACTTTCGGATCAAAGGGAACATTGATTTCATTTGGTTGGATCATTTTAGGCTTAAGTGGACTAATTTGAACAAGGGCCTATGGTCACTTCCCAACTTCTAGCCTAGATCATCTTAGCAGGACCAACGGGGCAAGTTCTAGATTGACACACACTGTCTGAACATTCATATTTTCTCACACACTCTTGGCACATTGTTTCATTATCAGATTATCAGATTACCCAGTTCAAGTTTTATCTTAAGTCATGAGGTCAAATCGGTTATCATGTCACATTGGGATCCAACACATTCAACTCATCAAGACTATCGATCTAGCACATTTCAACATTTTTGGACAGGGATCATTTTTTCATGCTTTTTATGCCATCATGCTTTCATCATTTTTTTTACTTACTCCTATACATACATTCCTAAACATGTTGGTTCAACAAAAATTAAACAATCTTTTGGGGGAAAAGAACACATGCAAGAAAACCCCAAGAGAGGATTATGAGTTGGGTTACTCAGACTCCACTCTATCACTCACAATCCTTTTACCCCACCCCAAACAATGCAATTGTCCCCAATGCACAAACAGTAAAAAGCAAAGGATCAGGTGAAGCAAACCTGTGGCGCATATGCGCCGAAGACCACTCAAGAAGCGGGTGGGTCTGATTTCCTAAAACTCGCTGGATCAACATTAGGAACGCCATCAGTAGCTCTCCCATCAACTATCTCAGCACCATCAGTAGTGCTCATATCAAACCCTAATTTTGGACCCACGTTGACGGTCCATGGGTCGACCTACGGACCATCGATAGGTTCCGTAGGCCACTGCACAATTATTTTTCTGTAGATTTTGCCTTTCGTCCCTGAACACATAGCAACCATTAGGACTTTCTTTTTACATTTTCTGGACACTTTTTAGACACAGACCCTAATTTATATCTAGCCAACACTAATACAAAATAAAACACCTATCTAAAGAGTGACAAAAATCAAAATAAAAGAAGAAAACTCCTATATCGAAAAGAAAACCCTATAGTTGGCTAGATTGTACATCTTGGGTTACCTCCCAAGCAACGCTTGATTTAACGTCGTGACACGACGCAGACCCCTTGATTACTCAGACTTCGTCAAGATTCCATGCCTTTATCACTACATTTACACTCTCAGAATTTCCCATGTAGCCTTTTATCCTCTGATGGTTGGCCTTCAACCTTGTTCCCCTCTTTTTCTCGAGCTCAACCACTTCATGTGGGGACACTTGAGTCACTCTGAATGGTCCGATCCACTGAGACCTAAATCTGCCAGGAAACTAGTGCAACATTGATTTAACAACAACACCAGATCCCGAGGAGCTAATTTGCGCTTTTTTGTCTTTTGATCCTGGTGCTTTTCTCTGTGCACAAGGCTGCACCTAACTTCTCCTTACTAGACACTTCAACAGCTTTTTAAAAAATATGACTCACCAAACATACCGGTTTAAGATCACTTTCCTTCTTCATAGACTTACAGATGTTAAAGTTCACCTCCTTCTTATTCAGTCAGAACTTCATCTGCCCTTTCTCCATATAAACTAAGGCACGCCCAGTAGCAAGGAATGGTCTCCCTAAGTTTATGGGAACCTCAAAGTCAACTTCACAATCTAGTATCACAAAGTCCACCTGTAAGATGAATGACCCCACCTTTACAAGGACATCTTGGAGAACACCAATGGGCTTCTTCACAGTTCTATCGGCAATGAGTAGCCGTATCGCAGTTGAATTTGGAGCCCCTAAACCCAACTTCTTGTAGATAGACAATGGAATCAGATTAATGCTGGCTCCTAAATCACATAAGGCCTTTGAAAAGTGAATCTTACCGATGGTGCACATAATAATGAATGCTCCAGGATCCTCTTTCTTTTGCACCAATGATCTCGTAGAAATGGTACTACAATGCTGCAACCTCTCATTATTCTCACAACTGACAACCCTCTTTTTGGTCACCAAGTCCTTCATGATCTTTGCATACCCATGCATTTGCTCTAAAGCTTCTATCAACGGGACATTGATGGAAAGTTGTTTCAACATAGTTATAAACCTGTGATATTTTCCTTCTTCGGTCTTTTGCACTAACCTCTGTGGGAATGGAGGTAGAGGTCTAGGCATGGGAACAACCTTTTGGGTTACCTCTGCTTCCTTTTTTGTAGCATTTTTAGACTCTCCAATAACCTCAATCTCATCATCCTCTATTTCTACCATTTTTTCCATATCAGATGGCATGGGGGGATCAATAGTTTGCTTTTCTCCACGAGTAGTAATTGCCATACAATGCCCATCATTTTTCGGATTCTGGATGGTGTTGTTGGAAAGTGTGCCCAGTTGGCGTGTATTCATAGTAGCAGATAACTGACTAAACTACTGCTCAAGTTGCTTTATTGACACTGCGTGAGCATCAACTTTCTGACCAATTTCGGACAACTCAGTGCACATCTCTTTCACATTTTGATCAGTAGCGTCAAACCTCTTCATCATCTTTTGCATCATATCCTCAACGCGCGACATACTACCCCCAACTTCTCTTTTACCAGATTCCCTATTCTAGGTGGAATGTAGGGCCCAGCCCTCTCATTCCTATTACCATAGTTATTCCGGTTGTAGTTGTTATCATGGTTGTGGTTCCCATCCCGGACATAGTTTCCTTCTTTGTTATAGTTTCCATAGTTCCGACCTTGGTTTCCTTGACCTTGGCGCTAATTATCCTAGTTGGAACCTTGGGCGTTGGTTTGGAAACCCCCTGTCTGATCATTCACCAAATAAGCATCTTCATCATAGTAGCATTCCTCAACTGGTGGTGGTGGAGTTCTAGTCAAGTAGTTTACCGCATTCACCTTTTCTGCACCTCCGCTCACTTCAACACCAACCCAAGTTATGTCCTCATATGAGCCATTTCCTCACGAATGTCATCGACAGATTGACTAGCTGCAGCTTGAACTTCAAAAGTGTTTCTTTCGGTGTCTGACTTTCTAGTGCTCAATGCTTTATTATTTTGGCAAATCTTCTCCAATTTCTCAGCGATCTCCTCAAAAGTACACTCACCATATGATCCTCCGGTGATAGTATGAAGCACAACTTTACCATTGTCATCCTGACCTCTGTAGAAATACTCCTTTAGTGACTCATCATCAATACTGTAGTTCAGAACACTTCTTATGAATGCAGTGAACCTGTCCCATGAACTAATCACAAACTCTCCAAGTAGTGCCACAAAGTTGTTGAGTTTATCTTTGTGGTTCAGCTTCTTTGACAACGGGAAATACTTGGCCATGAACACCTTGTGCAATTGGTCCCATGTATGAATTGAGTTGTACGGAAGCTCAGAAAACCATACAACATCATCACCGGTCAATGATAAAGGGAAGTCTCTCAACCCGATGTTATTCATATCCAACTCCGGTCGCCCCACACAAATCTTGCAGACACTCCTCAACTTGGCCATATGTCCATGCAGATCTTCCGAAGCCATACCAGAAAACAAACCTCTCGCTGTAAGCATCTGCATCAAACTGCTAGTCACCACAAATGTATGCCCAGAAGGTAGAGGAGGGAGAACAATGGGTCCTTCAGATTCGACAGTGTTGAATTCGACCCTGTAATTATCACACAGTCTTGGTTCTAGAAGATCCTGCACCCTCAATGCATCTCCAAGTAGTTTATCACCATGAACCTGAGCATTCTCATTATTCACTTGTTCCTCATGATCCTTTATGAGTGGATTGTCACGGACCCCTTGATTATTCATATTTCTCAAAGGTTTGCTCAACTCTGGATCGTATGGGGTCAATGGTTCGCCTCGACTCCGTGTATTTGGCATAACTAGAGTGGAAACCCGAAGAAAACTAAAACAAAAAAATGTAAAATTAGGAAATAATTTACTAAAGTTCAATAATGTAGTTAAACTTAATCCAAAAGCCTTATTCAGTAACGGCGCCAAAATTTGATATGCTCAAATTACACCTCCCTAAAGAAGTAGAAGCGATCATTGTCAAATAAAGAACCCAACTTGTAGGTTGGGGTTGATCCAACGAGGAATATGGTTTAGACTTAAACTTAACTTACTATTATATCTATTTAGTCAAGTTATTGCCGAGACAATTAAGTAAAGGGGGGGGGGGTTGTGAAACAAATAACTGAATGTTGTCAAGTAACAAGTGAGCAAGATTTGAACTTTGTTGTTATCAATGAGAGAGAGAAACTAGGGTGTATGTGTTCCCCATAAGCTCTTAACGCGCTAATCCTAATAATAGTAGTCCTTTCCTAGTGTATCACATGCAAAGTGGTAAGATATGTATCCCTAAGATTGGTCCGCCAAATAGAGAATTTCACTCCACACCTTGGTCCGGCTACGTGTGTATAATTTACTAACCCTTACCTTAATGTATGGCTTAATTTTCACCCTCGCACCAATTGACATTAGACTATTATATAGTATCACACTAAATCGCTGTTGATAATTCTTTTCTTATTACTACCTCCTTGGTCCGACAAGTAGCAATAAGGCGAGTTCTAATGTTGGCCACCGTTAAAAAGACTTCTAAACAAAAGAATTACCAATGTATGCATCAACACTATTCAAGATTTACTTAGTTATTATTCATACGTTGTTAATTGCTCATGGTTCCCACAATCCTAGTTGTGGATTTAGCTACTCATGCTTGAAAGAACACAATTCATATCTTTAGAAGAAGAATTCATGAACTTACGTATTGAGTAGAAGAAACCCGCAATCTCCTATTGAAATTCAAAGCAAAAATCTTATAAACCGAAATTAGGAAATCAAATTACAAAAGTTTGCAAGTTTAATTCCCAAGAAAATACCAAGAAATAAAAGTATACAATGGTGTCTCACCCACCAAAAATGAGGTTTACATACCCTATTTATAGAAAAATATGTCCTACATAAAAAGGAAACAAAATAAGAAAATAAACTTTCTGGATGCGGCTTTGATCAACGACTCGACCTATGGACCATGGGACAACCTACGGTCCGTGGGTCCTCTTCTGTGGCTCCACACTTAGGAATTTCATCAAGTACTAGAACTTCAACTTCTCTGAATCATTTGACTAATGTGCAGGATAGTCCGTGGATCGACCTATAATTCATCACTTGCAGCTGTAGTTCCACACTTGGTCAAGACTTCCCTGATGCTCCATCTACGCCACCCATCTACGGACCGTGACTGGACCTACAGTCCATAGGTCACCTCCATGGGTGGCTCATTCTACAGATTTTTAGTTGTCATCTCACACTTCCACGTCCAACCCTATTTCCTGCAAATATGACACAAAAACATTAATTCCTACTACAATATGGCCCTAGACACACACAACTCTTAAGTGAAATGTATCAAAAATACCGTAATCTCACGATATATCTATGAATGGGGCTGAGTCATCATTAGTGTCAGAAGTGAAAGAGAAACAAGACCAAGATACTATTTTGCTTGAATTGAAGACAAATGTTCTTAAGAAAAAATTAGTGGCTTTTGAACAAGGGGGAGATGGTGTATTGGGGTATCAAGGTAGGTTATGTGTACCAAGGGTGGATGAACCCCAAGAGCGGATCATGGAGAAAGCTCATAACTCTAGGTATTCTATCCATCTGGGTTTCACAAAGATGTATCGTGATTTGAGGGAAGTATATTAGTGGAATAGTATGAAGAAAGGTATTGCTGAGTTCGTTGCTAAATGCCCAAATTGTCAACAAGTTAAAGTAGAGCACCAAAGGCCCGGTGGTATGGTTCAGAAAGAACTTACATAATAGAATTAGGAGATGATCAATATGGATTTCATTACTGGCTTTCCATGGTCTCGTAGGCAACATGATTCGATTTGGGTGATTGTGGACCGAATGACAAAATCAACCCACTTTTAACGGTAAAGACTACCCACTCAACAGAGGATTATGGCAAGTTATATATTTAAGAGGTAGTAAGACTTCATGGAGTTCCAATTTCCATTATTTCAGATAAAGGTGCACAATTTACTGCGCAGTTTTGGAAGTCATTTCAGAAAGGCTTGGGTTCAAAGGTGAACTTGAGTACTGTTTTTCATCCTCAGACAAATGGTCAAACAGAGCATAGTATTCAAACTTTTAGAAGATATATTGAGGGCTTGTGTGATTGATTTCAAAGGAAATTGGGATGATCGCCTACTTCTCATTGAGTTTGCTTACAACAATAGTTACCATTCTAGCATCTAGATGGCTCCTTATGAAGCTCTTTATGGGAGAAGATACAGATTTCCTATTGGATGGTTTGAAGTTGGTGTAGCTGGGTTGATAGGACCAGACTTAGTTCATCAAGCTATGGAGAAAGTGAGAGTTATTCAAGAAAGGTTGAAAATAGTGCATAGTCGTTAGAAATTCTATATGGATGTTAGGAGAAGAGACTTAGAGTTTGAAGTAGATGATTGGGTATACTTGAAGATTTCACCCATGAAGGGTTTTATGAGATTTGGTAAGAAGGGGAAACTTAGTCCCCGGTATATTGGTCCGTACAGAATATCCAAGAGGATTGGTAATGTAGATTATGAGTTGGAGCTACCCCAAGAGTTATTAGCGGTTCATCCAGTATTTCATATTTTTATGTTGAAAAAGTGTATGGGCGATCCTTCACTAATAATACCAACTGAAGATATTGGTATCAAAGATAGCTTGTCTTATGAGGATATTCCTGTTCAGATTCTAGACCGCCATGTTCGCAAGTTGAGGACCAAGGAAGTAGCATCAGTCAAAGTCCTTACGAGAAATATGTTTATTGAGGAAGCTACTTGGGAAGCTGAGGAGGATACGAAAAAGAGATATCCACATCTCTTTGAGCCCAGAGAAATTCCAGATCAATGTACTAATGCTCTTCTTAGTACTCTTTAATTGATATACTGAATGTGTTAGATTTGCTTGTTGGGTGTTTGAGCTGGATGTTAGATATTACACCCTTAGCCTACTAAGAGTAATCTCATTCGAGGACGAATGTTACCAAGGGTGAGATATTGTAACACCCCACTTTTTGAAAGAACTATAATTAGAAAGAAACCATTTTTGGAAATAATTATATTTGGAAATTTTGGCAAATCAAGCTAAGTCTAAGTTTTGGTTCAACTTCAAATGACCATAACTCCAAGCACATGATGCGTTACGTGGGCTACGAGATACCATATGAAAGGTCTTGGAATTATCTTTCCAACTCCACCGAGTTTGCTCATTTTCGAGTTTGTACGAGGGAGATATGCCTGTTTGAAGTCGAGGTGTATGAATAAGAAAAGTCAACCGAATTTTGAAGGGGTATTTTGGACTTTTCCATACCCAAGTAATTTATTTCGATTTTGGTAATTACTTA